CATGAGTGGACTAGCAATCGAAACATACGATCAACGCGTCTTAAAAGAGGGAATGAGCAACTGCATTAAACACAATTTGAAGATAGATGTTAAAATTCAAAAAGCACACAAACTGGGAGAGAAAACCTGTCTGATTGAATTAGCAGAACATGAGGAAAAGGTAAAGGTTATGAAAAATAAATCTAATAAATAATCTAAGACATGTTGAAGAAAGAAAAGTATACATCAATGATGATACTACGAATAAAGAGAGAGAAATCCAGAAAACAATTATAAAACTTGCGCAAGAAGAAAAGGAGGGAGGAAAGGATGTAAGACTTGGTGGAAATTAAATATGGATCAACAAGGTCGGCTGGAAATGGGACAACAAAGAGAAAAAACTAGTCTAAATGGGGACAAAAAACTAGTAAATAAATGTACCGGAAATACTATGACAAACCAGGCAATGCCAACGGACATGAGTAGTTATAGAATAGGTAGTAAAGACAAAGATAGATCCATAAATAATGACCAAGGAAGTGAGCAACGAGAGACAAGAAAGGGTAAACCGATAAAAATGCAGTCAGCAACGAGCGAAAATATAAACAGTAACTATGTAAAACCCACATTAAACAAGAAAGAGCTTAATGACACGGCCCACAATAACGGAGCAGTGCTAAAGCCCAAAGGATGGACATTAGCAACATGGAATGTCAGAGGTCTCAACGGCAAAGAAGTCGAACTTGCTGAAGAATTTGAGAAAAATCAAATAGACTTTACTGGGTATAACACAGACCAAAAAGAAGGGGAAAATACACAGTTTTTAGAAAATGGACACTTCCTCATCACCAGTGGAGTGTCACTTGGTGAAAGGGCAAAAGAAGGGGTAGGCTGCCCGATACACAGTAACCTAATAAAGAATATTCAAGATTGGAAATGAATTTCAGAAAGAATTCTGAAGATAAGACTGGTAACTGCGGAACACAATCTAGTCAATATCATTGTTATGTATGGAATAAATGATGACGAAAGAGTAGCTAGCAAAGATCTATTCTGGTATACGGCATCAGAAATAGTAGATAGTTTAGAAGGCAATACTATAGTACTAGGGGATCTAAATGGTCGAGTGGGTGTAAGAGATGAACATACCCAAGATGTATTAGGACCATATGGAGAAGAAATAAAAAATGACAATGGGGAACGTATTATTGATATATGCAGAGAAAATAATTTAATAATAATGAACACACTTTTTAAAAACAAAGATGTACATAAATATACAAGATAAGTCAAACGTAGAGGCGAAAGATCCATCATAGACTATGTGTTAGTAAATAGATCATCGAGGCAATGCATTAAAGACGTAAGAGCAAAACGAGGAGCTGAAATATATAGTGACCACTATCTAGTTGTAGCCAGGACCAGCTTGGCAGTGCGACAAGAATCAATATGAAAGACACCGAGAAAACAAGTAAAGATCATGATACACCCACTATAGAAGTAATCAGGTCACATAAGCTAGCGACCAAGGAGACAACAAACAAGTTTGAAAACTATGTTAAAAACTACCTAACATGCTTGTGACTTAGACTAAAATAATACTGTAAGAAGCACTCCTAAACGGTGGTAAACAAGCATGCGGAATAACAAGAAATAATAGAAGCAAAAAATTGTACAAACTGGTGGAACAATGAAAGCAGAAGTGAAGTCCAATAAGATTGCTTGGTCCAGTTCCAGTAATGTCAGTAGACTTCATGTGACTCCAACAACACAAAATATAGATGAAAAAATGAAAAACTTATAATCGACAATTCTACAGTATCACAACTGAAGTTACAGTAATGGCTTGTTCTACGCCAATAAAAGCTCCAGTGTACGGGACATGGGGGTAAAATAATTCCATCCCCATTTAAATCCGTCCTGTTTTGGCCTGAAGAGAAACATTGTTCTTTGAAAAGACAGTTCAAGGAAAAACTACTTTCTGTAGTAAGCACCGACTCGTATCAACGGTATTTAAGAAACAAAGAAAAACAAAAAGACGAAAAGGAAAGGCAGAAAATAAACGCCGCATAAAACAGAAAACTATAAAAAGCAGAGACAGGCATTAAAAGTTAAACAAAAAGAACAAAGAAAAAGGAAGTAGGTTGAAAGTTCTGGTAATGATCCAGATGAAGAATGGGTGGAATCTGGTTCGTCCACAAATAATGTTAGTTTTGAGTTGATAACAAGTGAGATAGAGTTAAACTCCGTGCATGTATCATTCAATAATGACCAATTATTATTAAAGAAATTCAGCATTCATGATTCTGGGCTTGTAAAGTTTTTGAGTAAGAAAACGAATAAATATTTCGTTTGCAATTATAATCAATATTTCTGATGATGAGGAACATTAAGATAATACCGATTATGAGATCTCCTTCCTCAAACATGAAAGGATAAAAAATTGAAGTGGCCTACAGTAGAAGACTGTAGCGTTTTGCGTTTTATATTTAATGTCTATATAATAATATAGATTCGGTTTTAAATTTTTGTAGTAGAGGAAATTTTAAAGCGATCAATATGTTATGGCATTTTTAAGTTGAGATTCTTAAATGCGTAATAACGCTTCAAATATTTTTTTGTCTCTGTTACAATGTCAGGTAGAAACTCCGGTTTAAAATTAGGGACGCTAGAATAATCAATAAATCCGTGTTATTTTTACCCAATTTAAAAGTATATATTTCAAGATGTTTTTGTAGTTGAAAACGATTTGTTTACATGAACCCACAAATATTCCGGTTGAAAAAGAGGTTCTTTGAAAAAATGCAAGTCAGGTATTCAATTTTCTACCACGCGATAGTGATGGAATGTTTTCAAGGTAGTTACGAAAACTTGTCCAGGGTATTTGTTTGTTTTAAGTTTGTAGACGACAAACTAGCTGCAAGACGCAAGGGGAAATGGATTGTGGCGTCGAATTTGTAGAATGAACGCAGAGGTTAGCCAAGCTAGATCAACCGAACGATGTAGAGTCAAGCTATAGCATTTGGACGAGGTGGAATGTAGGGGGCAAATTTTGAATCGAAATTCGATTCAATTTTTTTGTGTTATATTCACAGTCAATATTTTAATACTCTTTGCATTAAATGCAGTTTAGACAGAGTAATCATCGGAAGATTTATACAGTGTACCGGAGACAAATGGAATTTTTGAGGATTAATATATAGGATGTCCCACCAGCTTTGTTGTCGTTTGCCTGCTTAATCCAAACCTATTTACGTCAGATCTTCGTTCCTGAGTATGGAAATGGTTTCCTGTGTTCTAGTTTGAGAATTTGTCCTTGCAGCTCCAATCCCACAGATTTAGCAAGTTTTGTTTCAAAGTTCAGTTCAAAGTTTGTGAATTAAGGTAACACTTCAATATATTATATTTTCCAAGTAATATAGACATTTGTAATAATTAAAGTTTTATATTATGTTAGAGTCATAACTAAAAAAATGTCATAATTTATTCTGTCTTAAAATGTTATGTTGACATATGACATTTTGCTCTAATCCATTGTTGTAAAACAATTTTAATTTGATTATTATATATAAAATATATTTCATATATAAGGTTAAATTCTACAGTATTTTCATAAAAAGGATATCCATAAGTTTTTGATAATCTAATTTGGCCGTATTATAACCTAGGAACCATTTCAAAATTTTTGTATCAATCTCTTTTGCAAACAAATAACACGTAAGTTTTTGTTAATTTGTATTATCTTATATAGTATGCTTCATGTGTAATCTGTATTTTTGATAACTGTTTGTTTGAGACAAAAATAAACGTTTGATTTGTTTCTCTGATCCATTTTGTGTTTTAATTTAGAAAGGTCTCCTAACCCTAGTATGTATTTTTGATTTTAGGGGAGAGGAGAAAAATTTTTCTTTCTCCCAGCAGGAAAATTTCTTCGAAGCGGCGTCCAAATAGAAATAGCTAGAGGTAACCTTATCTGCCATATCTTGTTCGTTTTAAAGCCAGGAGATTTATGTAAGTATCCCTTTGTTTTCATTCAGTATATACCCCAGTAATAGTTCGTTACAAGACAAATCACATATTTAGACAAATGATATAATATTTAAGTTAACGCAATCTCAGTTAGATAGAACGAATATATTTTAACTTTGACTTTGGCGAATATAATATGTACACTTAGTGTGCTTTGTGTTATTATTCTTCATATTTTTAAATTAGTTTAAGTATTCAATGTTAGGAAATCTAATAAATCATGATAATTTACTCTTCTTTAAAAATGTATTTGAAATTTAATAACCATTTTTATTCATATGTATAATACATGTCTAAATAAATAACGTTAACATACTTAGTGTCAATTACTCCCATATTTACCTTATTGTATAGATATTTCTTTACACTATCTTACAAATAATTTTTCATAAGATCAGTCCACCAATAGAACTACAAGTTTTCGAAGGAGAAATACGAGTTTGTTAAATAAGCCTTGTTCAGAAGCTGTTTATTTATTAAAAGGAACTATACTTAGATACTTTCACACAACTAGCAATTAAGCAAGACAACCTGAATCCACCAATCAAATTCGGTAGTCAATAATTTTTAATTTATTTAATTATAGTTTTTAACAATTAAGCAAATTCACTTCATTACATCCAAAGTCTTAGCACACAAGAAATTTGGCAGCCCCCTCAAAATGTTGTCTATAAATTGACCCAATATGCGAAAACGGTGAATTAAGAAGCAAAAATTCCAATTTTCCAACTATGACATTTTCTCAGTTTTGATAAACCATTCAATGAAGACAAAAAATATAATATTATCTTTCCAAACACAAAACAATCTTTACTCACTTTTGTTAAAAATTTATAGGAGTCTGCCATGAACACTTAAAAATTACAACTTATCAACATGTAAAAGGATGTAGAGTTTTCAACTTGTATACAAAATGTTTACGAAGAACCCTGTTCAAAATAAAAATATCACATTGTCAGGTCGTATTATTTAATATAAAAAAAACTACTTACGAACTGATAGGGAAGTATTAGAATCTACTTCGATAGTTCCTAACACTGTATCAGCTATCCTACACAATTGTTCATCACTAATATAATCGTTGGAACAATTTCGAAATGTGAACCTATGGTGCTCACTTATTTGTATCACATCAGCTGATTTTAATGGATCACTTAAGGTGCCACGTATTAAATTTTGATTAACATATGTGCCATTGGTACTCTGAAAACGAAAGAGGAAATTTTGCCTATATAAATAAAATACACAATACACACATTAAAATAATCTAGGGGACACCTCTATTAACAGTTTTAAATCAATGTTAGCTGCAAATACAAAAATACATTTATGGTTTTAATCTTTTTTGTTGTTTTTTAGATTATTTCCCCAACTTGGACGGTAATGCTGATAAGAATGGCTATAAAAAATTTAACAAAACTTGGGAAAAATATGGGAATATGTAATCTATTTCTATGATGATTTACGTTTAAAGCTGGTGCTCTGACTGGTATCCTCATATTCAGATTTTGATCAGAGACGCCTTTGAACAGTGTTTCTACTAATTTGAATATAATGAACAATTGCCATTTGTAAATATCTCATTATGAGAAACACAGTCATTTGTTTCTGGAAAACGTTGAATAAGTCATGATATTGTAGTATGAGATACTCCTAACCTCAAGCCTGTTTCATGATAACTTAACCCTACATCAGCCAAAGTAATTGCCTGAACACATTCATCTAGGCTCAGATTTCTTGAAATATGGTCCATGTTAACTTACTAATATAAAGAAAATAGCAAAACAATGTTTTGAATCCTGTTAAATTGTTTGATTTTTCTTAGCCAACTAACTGGTTCCAATAATGAGTATTACAATTCGATAAAATCACATTATGCTTTGAACATACTTTTCTTTTAGGATAATAAAGATATCGATGATTTTTTACGACAATGTTAAAAAAACGAAGCTATCTCCAAATATTAATAAAAAGTAGCGTTTGTTTCTAATAGATTCCACAGGGTGTTGCAAAATTAGACGAAAAAACAACTTTATTTTGACACCCTATATATATATATATATATATATATATATATATATATATATATATATATATATATATATATATATATATATATATATATATATATAGGTAAAACGTTGACATATCTCAATAAACATTAATACAGTCATTCGTTAGAAATATGCCTAGAACGTGAAAAATAAATCATTGAAATCCAATTAAGGGTTCAGAAGAAATATAGTATTATTAAAATCATGGTCTATTTATACAAGATACAGATAGATATGCCAGATACAAGACAGGCCGTGTAGAATGTGCATATACAGCAAGACAGCAGTATAATGGTATGGGGCGGCATCACTCACTCTTGGTGGAACAACCAATCTCGTTTGTCTGGGAGGGTTTTTAAATGCAACAGACTAAATTATTCTCGAACCTATTGTTGTACAATAAGCTGGTCCCCAATTTCAATTAAGGTACAGAAATGCGCGTCCAGATGCTGCCAGGGTTCGCTATGCGAACATTCAAAGAAGATAATTAAATTGAGGTTTTACCAAGGCCTGGACAATCGCCAGATTTCAACCCCATTGAGCATGTATGGGATATATTAGGCAGACGCATTTTATCAATTTAACCATTTAACGCATTTAACCAATTACATTCAATAAAAGACAGCAACTGTTTGAGGGCCTTTCTATGGAATGGAACAGAATATCGCAGCAAGACATTGACCATGCGATCCTCAGTTTGCCTTACAGTTGCAGGACCGTAATCAACAACTGTGTAGGTCATATACTATACTTAACCTAAAGACTACTTTTTGAGAGTTGAGAGGCAACAAATAAATTTTTTTTTTGTTACCATTTTTTGACATATGAAGCTCTCCCTTAAGAGCTATTGCGACAATTCTAAGAAAAAATGTTTTATTTTGTTTTTGCCCCCTAGATTATTTTGATGTGGGTATCTTATATAAAAAATATTACTGAAGTTAGGACCAGTTAACTTCATAGTCATGTTCATCTATTAATTTGTTGAATTAAATCATTTAAAATGTGCATTTTAGCTAAGTAAATATGTTTCCTAACAACTGAAAATCATTGAGAATAAATGTCAAGAGTAGTTGCTGTTAATGCAAAAAAATATTATTTTGTTGACATAAGTGAAATATTAAAATCATATAATATCTTATAAGGTATTAAGTGGGTTACAAATTTTTATTATTGGATGTTTTTTTGTTTTTTATTGGTGTTTTTCCTTTCCTTGAAAAATACCAAAACCTCACAAAACTCTTACTAGAAATTACCAAACAATTATTATTAACATTAATTAATAGTCTGCCTTGTTTGGAAGCACTGAAAGGAAACAATATAATACATTAAAATATGTAATTATAAAATTAATCAGCGTGTATTAATAGAAACTATTAAATTTAGCTCAACACTTCAATCAAGATCTTTTTAAGGAAGTTGTAATAAAGATTTTCCTGGGAGATATCAAATATTATACTGAAAAATAACATTTTTGCAATTGTTGTAAAGAAAACAGGTTTAAGGCTTGTTAATTAATAGGACCTTACAGGCGTTTTAGGATTATCTCCTGAAAATTGCTTTGGTAGAATTTAAATATGCGTCAGCTGAAAAAGTTGTGCAAAATGTTTAGCATGAAAGAACTATGTGACACACCCAATTTTTGAACTTGTTATACCAAATAATTCAAAACCAAAGTCGTAGGTGAGCCTAGTGAAGTTTTTAACATGGCAAAGCATGTTAGAAGAAAGAATTTAACATGCCTTTGGTATTTATTCAAATTTATTTCTTAGATCAAAATACTCATTATTAAAATACTTAATGTTTTTGATGAATTTTCAGATAATTTTCCACACAGCAAGTTTTGAAAATGTTCAAAAAACTGTCAAATGTTTCTTTCACCCTTATTCACAACATATAATTTTGTAGGAAGAAACATCAAACATTAACTGTGTCAAAAACACTCCAACCAAACATCAAATTTTTTGGTATTTGGTTAGATGACTAATACAGATTTACGAGACCCTTTCATCAGTTGGCCCACCTATGGAATTTGCAGTTTAAGTGGATTACCATAAACAAATTATACTCTAAATTTGTTCAATCATTATTAGAACTTTTAATTCTGGAGAATGCAATTCGGAAATCGCAAATAGTGCCAGAAATATAGTCAGAAGATACAAAACTGCAGGTTCGGTCGTCACAAAACCTAGAAATGTGAATTATAGTGAAAAATCGATGAGAAAATTATATGGAGTTAAGCGTTTTATGGAGTGACAATATTGGAAGACTCGTTTCTAAATTACCATGTCACCGAGAGGCCCACAAATTAGGATTTGATACTTACAAAGTAAGTTTTATTAGTTAAAAAAATTAGTACGAATTGTTTTGAATAAATTTCATTTTATTTTAGGCTAAGGAAAAGCCACTTTTATTGTTAAAACAAAAGAAAAATAGACTAAGATGGTTAAAAGAGCATGAAGATTGGACTCAGTAGCAAAGAGGTTATTAAAATGGAGTGATGAGTCCAGATTTGAGTGTGTGTTGGAGACAGTAGGAGTCGCGTCATTCGCAGAAAAAATGAAGCTTTCCATCCCGACGGTCTGAAGAGAAAAAAATATGCAAAAAATATGGGATTCGTTTACATTAAAATTTTGTCAGAACTTGGTAAAAACTATGCCTCTAAGAATTGTGGATGTCATTAAAGATAAAGGGTATGTAACTCAGTGGTGAACTTTCATATATTTTTTTGAATATTACATATTCTATGCGTTATTTAAAATTCATTATTATTCTGTTTAATCAATAGTTTTTATTACGCTATAAAATATTTTATTTTATTTATTTATTAACGGATATACCATTTACATTGGAACAATATATAATATATAAAATTTTTCAAAGTAAGCATAACATTGGAAAATAATTAGTAAGTTTAACAAAAACTAATAATTAACTTGAATACAAACTAATATCACACAAATAGCAGTCTCTTTATTACATTTTTAAATTGTTCTAAGGACTGGAAAAATAAGTCCAGACACTTTGGTACCTATTATAAGTATAGTCTCACCATATGAGTAAGAGGCTTGAAGTATTCATAATTAAATTGATGAAATGGTAGATCAAATAATGAAGTATGCCTAGTTCCATGAAGAGTGTTAAGACCTAATTGACTTAAAAGTTCAGAGCAATTTATCAAATTATTAACAATTTTGTAAAGGAATATTAGGCAAAAATAATCTTTTCACTGATTCATAGAAACCATTTTCAAGTGATCAGCTATCACACTATAACTGTATAAGACAGATTTCTGTATTAGATCAACGAATTCTTCAAATTCCTAATAATTTTTAATAACACAAAAGGCATAATGAAAAAGTTGAGTTCTAATACGAGAAAATAAAAGATTTATATATTAGATCATTTAATAAAAATCACGCCATAATAGTAAAATAGTTAATAGTAAGTAGTAAGGAAAACTTGCTCTTTTTATATAACTTAGTAAAAATTCTCTATCTGCAGCTATTTATTAAAATATTATTTTTATAAATGTAATATTTAGAGCAACTCTTACATACCTGCTTAAAGAAAATGCAGTAAGTAAGATATGCTAAGAAAGAAAGCAGTGTCTAGCTACTGCATGCTGCATTTTTCCTAAGCTCTATGTAGATACTGCAGTTTTTCAAGTACAATATTAACATCAGCTGTTCTGTTTGTGGTATTTACCATGAAGATGAACAAGAAAGTCTTGTTGCTATAGGGATGAAGGCGTTTATTATGTTAGACAAACAAGATAAGAGTGTAACTAAAAAGGGTGATCCACGAAAAAGGAGAACAAACGAAGAAATCATTGAAATCATTTATCATACAATGAAAAAAGTGCTTTGTTTTTCGTTGTTTAAGAGAATGGGCGTTAAAGGAAGGACAACAACTTCAGAAATATATAATTATTCTTTTGTGTATACTTTTCCTAGGGACAATGGAGAAAATATGAAGGTGTGTAAAACTTTTTTTAACCATTCTTGGGTTTAAGCAAACAAATAACCTGTTTGTTTTTTTGAAGTCTTATCCAAAACACTAAAAACATAGGTTTATCACAATCCTGATATGAAATGGGGAAAAGCTCCTGCAACTAATCATATACACCAAATTCATGATCATAATATATAGCTTCCATCCTGAAATTGCTCACTATCACAGTGAATATACTCCTAATTGATTGTACCTACCGAGCGAAATTAACATCACTTTCTTGCATCAAAATTTCATAGAAAAGTATCCTCAAGTTCCAGTATCATACAATGTATATCATTGTAAAGTAAAGCTAAAAACATTTCATTTGCTAAGCTTGGAAATGAAGAATGTGAAACATGTGGGGGTTTTAAACTACACAGACATTCTGAGAACTTTCAGGAAGATTGCAAAAACTGTTGTGCATGGAAAAAACATATAAACGCTGCAGATGGGTCTAGACTTCATCAAAATCAGAGCTTGAGCCCTGAAAAACCACAGTATATAATGTATCTGCAGACTAGCACATAATAATGTTGCCAAGTTTGGAAACCTTTAAAAAGGTCCGTTTATGCAGAGGTTAACAGAAAAATCTTTTGGATCAATTTGCCTGTGAGGACTGAGAAACAAAAGATAAAAAACATATATCAAAAACAACTTGTTTAAAACTATTTTACTGTTTTAAAAAAATATTTGTTCCTAAAAGAAAGCAAATTATTGTAGACAGACAACTTGGTGAAAATGCAGTAACCATTTTTTAGATAATTTGCAGCATTTTTTCTAACAAACTACATAGGGGAAGTCTCAAGTTGTCAGCATTAACACAGTACCTGCCTTTTTTATTGATAAATATTATGAAATATTTTGTATATTGACCAAAAACTTAGGTTTTCATAACTTCAAACTTACTAAAACCTTCACATAATGAGCAGCTTTTAAAATCAGGACAGCTTTGCAAAGTCAACCTCATTTTTCTGTGTTTCATATCTTGTGTAGATATTGCTTTTTGCTTAAGAGGGCAGTACAAATGTTTATAAAATGATCAATAAAATTAAAAAAAAAACATTAACCGATATAGAACTTAAAATAGATGTTTGTAGAAGATGTTTTATGAAAGAAATGTGAGAAATATATTTAAACAGTTAATGACTAAAAAGAAGATGCAGATAGTAAATAAAGATAAAATTAAAGGTGAGTAAACCATTTAGAATATATAAAATGTACTAAAAATTTCAGTCCACAGTTTTTGACAATATCTTTTGGTTTCAGATTTAAAAGCTACATTTTATTAGTTGGTGGCATGATAAAGTTCACAATTACAACCATTATTTAAAACATCTTAAAAAAGCTATTATAGCCTCCACATGACATTCATTCCGGATTTTGAACGCACAATTAAAAATAAATAACACATTACTTAAATTCTGTTTTATGTATCTTAAGACATTAGCATTATTTTAGAAACTTACCCAAAATATAACAGGCAGTCACACAAAAAAAAACTTTCATAGATACAATTATTAATATGTTTCACTGTTTGATTTTAATATACTTTAAACACCGGCGGATGAACACGATATTGAACGTACTCGTACTATACTAACCTTGTCTCTCAGACACCAACCATTTTCAGTCTTTTCAAAGCAGCAATGTTCCCGAGATACGATTGTATTGGCAATCACGTAGTTGCAATTAAGACCCCTTCCTATTGTAAACTAAAAACAAATCGAATTTTAGCCTCCGGCTTTAATTATAACACTTTCGACATCCGAAATAGTGGAAGGAAGGATTATCATACTTTCAAAAAAATTAACATTGAAATTTAGAACACTTACTGGGTTCTTATCTATTGGTATGCTAAGAAGATTAGAGTTGTTCACGAGGAATGGATTACCTGGATCCATGGTTATTAATTAGATAGATAGTTTGCAAGCATTAATGTTATTGGATTTATAAAATTATTAATACACAAAAACCAAAAACCACAAAAACTAATGCTTCAAACTTGAAATCAGTTGAAACCACTCTTGTCATTTGTCATCAATCAATACGGTCAAACTGTCATACTGCTACAGCCACCTATAACCACCACTGTTAATATCAACGGCTCAATGGTTTCTCATTCGGTAGATACTATTATTTTTAATATCCAATTTTTGAAGAAATAAATAAAGTGTTTAGTAAAGAATATTAGTTATATTACTATACTAAAAAATAATAATTTTAATGGAACCGAGTACGAACATAGCAATATTTAATTTCTGTGAACGACAATTGACATTTATGAAGCTGTCAATTAATTTCTGACTAATGACTAATGTCACCTCGCTCTTTTAACTCACGTTGCATATGTGAGGTATTTTACAAAATTTGAGAAAAGTTTATTTAGTGTTGTAAGTACGACAATTATTTAAGTTTTGTTCAAAAGTGGTAACATAAGTTTTCGTTGTGTATGTAAAGAGTTGTTTTCATATTTAGAATAACAATAATATTCCACCGCATTCGTGTTTAGTTGAGTCACTTTCCATTTAGTACAGCTATTTTACTTTAATTAATTTTTTTTTGTAGATTATATAAGGGAAAACAATCAAAATGAGTAGATTTTTCGCTGGATCCGATTCAGATTCGGATAGTTCATCCGAAGAAGAGATTATCCAACGTCCCCAAGTACCAGCTTATACTGTAAGTTTTGCTTAGGTAAACTTTTGTCTTTATAGTATTTTTTACATGCGATTTTTTTTAGTTCAGTGACGATGAGGAAGAGGTAAAACGTGTCGTAAGATCGGCAAAAGAAAAACGCTATGAAGAACTTACAAATACTATTAAACAAATCAGAAATTATAAGAAAATTAAGGATATGTCTAGCATGTTGAATAGTATGTACAATAATGTAAATTTTAGATTTAGGTTGACAGGAAACATTCTTTTCAATGTCTAGCAATTATATATATTTTTTATCATATCTTTGGATGTTAAATTTCATTCCACACACTTGGTGAATTTTTAAGCCATAATAATACTTCAAAAAGTTTCGTTTTATGTAAAATCAACTTCAGCCTAAAATAAAACTCATAATACTATCCCAATGTTGTAGTAAATATTTCATTATATATTTATTTTTCTTTTAAGACTTCTATCAAGTTCTATTTTAAATTATTAGGCATGCAACAATTTAAGTTTTTCATATAGGTATGTTAATAATACATGCTTTTATATATTATTTGGGCAAAAGTATAGAGAAAGTGCCAATGAAGTTAGCTACAAAATATGGATATATTGATATTTGGCAGTGTTGCATTATCAGAAATAAATCACTAAAGAGCATGTGATATAATATTAATTAATGTTATTAAACATTCTTAGGTTTTTAAAAGAATTTTAATTAATTTAAATTTAATTTATTATAATTTAAATTAACTTCAACTTTTTAAGCTTTTAAATTGTTAAGTTTTTAAGGTATTCAGGTACCATTTCGTCCCAAAATTATAAGAAAATAGGCATAAAATTGAAATCTGCTGAACATCTGTTGCAATCTGGCAACTAGTGTTTTCAAAGTTTTGACAATATTACCAAGTTTATTTGCTAATCTACCAAAGGCTAATTATAATTTTTTTTTTCTAATAACTAACTGCAATATTGTTCTGAAGCTATTTTCTTGTGGCATTGTAAATTAATTACTATTTAACTGGGAATAAGCCACAATTAAAGGCTGTGGTTAAATATTAATATTTGTGGCTTATTCTTTGGTTTTAAGTTTTCATTTGCTGTTTTAATTATTGCTGCTTTTATATTTTCCCATTTCTGATCAATGTTATAGCTACTTTTATTCAGTTCTTGGGCATTACGTATATTTTCAGTAAGAGTTTTTACAGTTTGTTCCTTTGTTTGTGGTTCCCTTAATCTCTTAATATCAATTCTACTTTGTGTGGGTTTTTTAACCAGTTTTAATTTGGTTCGTAATGTGACTACTATGGGGTTATGGTCTGAACCGATGTCTGCTCCAGGGTAAGTTTTGGCAGACAGTATAGAATTACGAAATCTTTGTCTAATAAGGACAAAGTCAATTTGATTTCGGATGATTCTATTCGTTGTATCACCGGGAGATTTCCATGTATACAACCTTCTTTTTGGTAGCTTAAAAAGTGTATTAGCTATTACAAATTCTTCCGTCTGGCAAAATTGTATCAAACAGTCACCACATTCATTTCTATTTCCTAGACCATATTCCCCCACATATCCATCCACTCTTCCCTGGCCAACTTTGGCATTGAAGTCGCCCATTACTATTGTAGTGTGATGTTTTTTCATTGATTTTAAGACTTGTTCCAAATCATGGTAAAACAGTTCGATATCGTTGTCATCTTTATCTGCCGTAGGAGCATAAACTTGAATAAAATTTACTATACCTTTTTTAGACTGTAGTTGTATTGATAAGATCCTATCAGAATAAGGAGTAAAACTTATCACAGAGTAATTGACCTTTTTTGCAACTAAGATAGCAACACCGTAACGATGATTGACCTCGTTGTTACCTGAATAATACATGGTTCCATTATTTGTAATTTGTTTGCCTGAACCTGGCCACTGTATGTCACTTATACCTAAAACATCAATTTGGAGGTTTTCCATTTCAAGCAGTACGTTCGCTAGTTTACCACTTGCATATAAACTTCTGACATTCCAGGTTGCTATTTTCAATGTCTTAAGTCCACAGGGATTTCTCTGGTTTACGACCTGGGAGGCCCTGTGATCTACAGTTATTCCTCCCCTGCCGGATCTTGGATTCCGTGCTCCATAATCAGTAAGTTTGTTTACTCTACTTGTCATTTGCCATTCATGACTTTACTGGAACTTTTGGAACAATATATAATATATAAAATTTTACAAAGTAAGCATAACATTGGAAAATAATTAGTAAGTTTAAGAAAAACTAATAATTAACTTAAGGCCCGTTTTCACGCTACGTCTTATTATACGTTTTGTTGGATAGGACAAATCCTATACAATAAAAAGTATGTCTTGTCGAATTGAAATACATAGTGTGTATACACTGGACAAAACCTACGTTTTGTTGTACGTTTTATATGACCAACAAAACATACAATAAGACGTAGCGTGAAAACGGGCCTTTAAATACAAACTAATATCACACAAATAGCAGTCTCTTTATCACATTTTTAAATTGTTCTAAGGACTGGAAAAATAAGTCCAGATTACTTTGGTACCTATTATATAGTCTCACCATATGAGTAAGAGGCTTGAAGTATTCATAATTAAATTGACGAAATGGTAGATGAAATAATGAAGTATGCCTAGTTCCATGAAGAGTATTAAGACCTAATTGATTTAAAAGTTTAGGGCAATTTATCAAATTATTAACAATTTTGTAAAGGAATATTAGGCAAAAATAATCTTTTCGCCGATTCATAGAAGCCATTCATAGAAGTCCCATAACTGTATGGGACATAGAGGTCATGAAAAGCACTACAGTAATGATAGTGTTTACCAAATTTATGCTGAACACGATCAAGCTTTTCTATAGATGTTTGATAGTAAGTCCCCATACAACTATTGCATATTCTAGTATGGAACAAATGAGACTATTAAAAAGAATTGGTAAAACAAAACATGAAAATTGAGAAGTGTTTCTAGTTATAAACCCTAATTGTTTCAATGCACTGTTTACTGTGACCTCTAGATGCTTATGAAATGCTAATTTACAATCAAAATAAACACCTAAATCCTTAACACAGTCCTGTCTAGACAGCTGAGTGTTATCAATGCTATAATCGTAATTTAAAATTGTTTGTTTCCTGTGAAAAGTAATAACACAACACTTATCAATGTTCAATATTAATTCATTTAGTTTGCACCAGTCGCTAAATCTGCTGATATCCTCTTGTAGCTGAATTTGATCATACTGACAAGTAATGACTTTATTGATTTTTTTATCATCAGCAAAGTTGAGAAATTTTGAATACTTAATGACTTTCTCAACATCGTTAACAAAGAGGTCAAAAAATAGAGGACCACAATGTGACCCTTGTGGTACTCCAGAGAGGACGTCAATAGATTGAGACAACACACCATTTATCTTAATACTCTGGGTGTTACCCACAAGAAAACTATCATACCAATCAAGGCATTTGCCAGCTATACCAATGGCTTCTAATTTACTGATTAAATAACAATGATTTACTCAAATGAAACATTCATTCGTTGGTGTTTTATATAAATTTAAAAAATACCTAATTTCATAAAATATAAAAATGTACTGTTTCAAGGCATAAAACATATACATAATAAGGGCATGGCAATACAGCAAACACAAATTTGACATGATGTTTATAGTCAACTTCATCAGCACTTTCTCTATACTTTTGCCATTATTTGGAATTCCTACTGATGAATCTATATTAATTGTTCAACTAAGGTCTGTTTTTGTGCTTGCTTGAGTATGCATTTCTTTATATCCCTCCTCTATCTTGTTGGGTTCCATATTTTGTTTAAATAACATTTGTTTTTATAGTTTATTCGTCTTCCGGGTTTGGACCGTGTCATTTGTGAGCCTCTCGACGCGTTAGTGTTCTGAGCTGTTGGACGTGAATCCCTGTCCTGGCATTTGGTTTTCACCTCTGGCTGCGTTGAGTAGTTGAGTTACTGTGACCAAATGTCCATCTTGGTAGTTAGTATTCGCCTCTGGTTGCGTTGAGTAACTGAGTTACCGTTGCTAACTACCCATCTTCCTGTTCTTCTTTTGTTTTCTTTTTTCTTTTTCTTTGTTCTCCTGAAGAAGCTACATACAATTGTAGCGAAACGTCGAGATGAACCCACTTTTGGGTCACTCACAAATGACACGGTCCAAACCCGCAAGACAAATAAATTATAATTCTGACTCTGGCCGTGGAAGCCTACGATTTCAACATTTGTTTTTCTTTATATTAATTCAAAATTAAATATTTTTATTGATTTTAACTTATTTATATCTTACAAATATAATTAAGATTAAAAAAGAAAATAATTCTTTACAATTCAGGAAAGGATCTTCTTTACAATTCCAGAATAAAATCATTTCCAATGACACAATTCAAGTCATTTTTTAATTCAGATAAATTGGTCTCACCTGACATAGTCCAAATCACTTTTCAATTCATATACCTTTTTGGCATGTGTTGTATTTCTTACACAGTTTATTTCTTTTTAAGGTTTTGAAGAATTGCAAAAGGCATACCAAAAAGCTGCTCCTGTTATTATTAAAGAAGAAAATGGTCAGACTCCAAGATTTTTTATTAGGTGTTTGGCTGAAATGGAAGATTTTATTAATGAAATGTGGGAAGATCGAGATGGAAGGAAAAACATGAGCAAAAATAATAGGTAAGCTATTTCAAAAGTTTATAATAGTTTAATTACCACTTCAGGGAACATTATTATGCATATAGGAATGTAAAAAAGCAGACCACACAAGTTTTTTATCTTATACATGAATGAAATCATTCAGGATATATCGAAAGAGAGACACAAAAGATCAATATTCACAAAATTTCTTCAAATTTTTTGTTGTATAATTGTGGAATAACTTATTGTTCTGTGGTCCAGTATATAATATAGATTGGTTAGTTTTAAAATCATTACATGTAGTTTAATTGCTGTTTTGTTATTCATTTTTTATAAACTATGTACCAACTTTGCTTTCATTTTTAGCAAATCACTCACATCTATGAGACAGAAGTTAAGAAAATATTTGAAAGATTTTGAAGATGACTTACCTAAATTTAGGGAAAACCCAGAACAGCCTGATGATGAGGAAGAAGAGGAAAAGCGTAAGTTTTTTGCACAAGTCATTTTATTAAATGTTTTCAGTTTTTTTTAGCTTTTTTTTGGTTTTATCTCTTTTCAAATTTATGTTTGGAAAACAAGTTTGGAGTTTTTTATGGTTTTGCTATATTTTACAGTTTTTTATTTATTTCATTATTTATTTCATTTTTGCCTTATTTCCTATTGAAATTTGTGGTTCACTATATTCTTTTATCTGTACTAATTAAATGATTCTTAAGATTCGTACCATTTTTTAAATACATTGTTTAATATTATTTCATATTATCTATAGGTACTGTTGTTAAATGCTGCTTTTCATTTTGTGTTTGTTTTTATTAAATATTTTTTCTGTTTCGCCAGGTGTGCCCAATGAGAAAAAAGTCACAGTTGTTTTTAAATTTTACATAAAACCATCTTTCTTTTTGTGTCTTTCATCCACATTAAAAAAGGATAGTTGTAGATTAAAAATGGTCTGTAGTTACTTACCAGTGAGTGGTGAATAAAATTAGGATATGATTATTTTTAGTTACTAAGAATTACACAGTACATATTTAAAAAGAAACCACCTAAAATGTTTGGCATTTTTTACGAACCCTACAAGAAATTAATTGTCAGTAGATGTTACTTAAAAATAACATTAAATAACAAATGTCAAAAAAACTCCCGAATTGATGATTTTAATGAAAAATTTAAAAAATTACCATTTTAATTTTTTTCTGTTGTCTTTATAAAAATTACAATAAAGTCTTGCTTTTTAATATTGTACACTCCTCATTTAACTTGGCATTGAATTGATCAAATTCTGAATGTTGTCTAGAGGAAAAGCTTCTTATTCTTCCATGAACCATTCAAACCAAAGCTGTTCACAGTGTATTGAAGCAGGTATTATGTTTCTTACACTCCATTTGAGTTGGTCACAAACATGCTCAATCGGGTTCAAATCTGGGCTTTGAGCTAGTCAATTCATTTTTGGCACACTGACAGTTTCCAGCTATTATGTTACCATCGGCTATGTGTGGCTGTGTAATGTATTGCGTGAAAATAAAGTTTTTGCCCACAGACTAAGCAAAAGGCAATACATGGTCATCTAGAATTTTTGGTAATGTATCAGTGAGAATTTAATGCTCGTCTATCAATAAACACGAGATCAGTACAGCCTTTGAATGAAATGCCTACCCAAAACATTACTGAGCCTCATCCAAAAGCAACATGTGTTCGTCAAACACAACCAGCATATTGTTCCCCACATCTTCTGTATGTTTTGATGCCACCATCTTCCAGCACAGTTCACCTCTTCTTTTTGCGGACGATCTAAAGTTTTACACAATTGTCAATAATACAGATGATTGTGTTAATCTTCAACACCATCTCGATTGGTTGAGCGAGTGGTGTGTACTGAATGCCACATCACTGAACGCATCTAAGTCTCATACTGTTTCTTTTGGACGATCGAGAGACCCACTGGAATATAATTATAATATACAGAACATTCTAGTTGACTGGGTTACCAAAATTCTTTATCTGGGAATTAATTTAGAACTTTTATTTGAATCACATTACATGTCAATAATTTCCAAGTTTTTACAAATGCTTGGCTTTATAAAAAAATTCGCTAGAGACTTTCAGAATATTGAAGCGATTAAATTACTATATTGTTATTTAGTTAGACCCGATCTAGAGTATTGTTCTTGTGCATAGTCTCCATCTTATAATATTTTCATATCAAAAATTGAAACAGTTCAACAGGAGTTCTTGAAATATGTAGCATATAAACAGGGTATACCTGTTGAATTAAATAAAGTAAATTATGATCAAATTGCCAACTTGGTATTCTCTCATTGTATGAATGACGATTAATTAAAGATGTAAAGATGCTTTATGGCATAATTAATTCTACAGTCTTAGCTACTTGAGCAGGTTGGTCTGCATGGACCTCTACATACAACATGATTAAACCAAACTTTTTATGTTCCTCTTCACAGAACCAACTATGCATATAATAATTTTTTATCTCGAGCTCTAAGGTGGGCAAATATTCACCCAGATCTAGGTTTTTTTGCTCCGAAGGCCGAATTGATTTCAGGTATGTGTTTATTTGAGAGTATATATGTGGAATAGGTAATCATCATTTTGATGTGAAAAACTAAATTACGTGAGTAAGTTTGTGATATTTATACTTTTATTATTGTGATATTTAGACTTATATTTTTTTGTTTTATTGTCCAAGAAAAACAATGTAAAAACAACATATGCATTCTGCAAAGTCCTAAAGCATATAAGTTCTGTGAACTTATTACCCTTAATTGACCTGTCGGCACCCAGTGGCGCTGCCTAAAAGTGTTTCTGCATTGTGGGAGTTTGTTTACAATAGAATAAATTGCATAAACTTAAAATTATTGAAAAATTCTTATACAAAATTATTATAGGTGGCCTCTTTTTAATGACATGCAGTGTATATCTGTTTTTTAATTTGGTCTTTTTCAGACTTTAGAATGTAGTTTTTTGGTATACGAAGTGTGTGGTTAGGCAAGCATATATGTGTTTTTTAGGAGTTTTTTAAAACATTTTCCTTGATTTTTTTGAACCATCTTCACAATTTAATGTATAAAGTATTTACGAATTATTATTAAAGTAATAAAGATCATCATAATACTTTGACGATGTTCTTTTAGCTGAAGTAGCCGAGGATTCAGAAAACGAAGCTCCATCCAAAAACGCGTTTCTCAAAGCTCCACCCAAACAAGTTATAGACGACAAAGATGAATTGTCAGACTCAGATGATTGGCCATCTGACTCTGAATCCAGTCTATCATCATCTGACGACGACGAAGGTAAATACCAGAGCATAAGGGAACGTTTCTTAAAGAGAACTGGACCCGCTCACGAAGAAGATGAAGATAGAGAAAGGAGGAAGGAGGAGAAAAGGAAGGAGAGAAAGGAGAAAGGCAGGAAGTTAAAAAAGGATGAGGAGGAGGATGGTGAAGGCAAGTGGGAGACTGTTAATAGAGGTTTCGCTATCCCCAGTGTAAGTATCTTTAAATAATATAATTAAATAATAATAATACCAGTCTTATTTATGTATTTCTTATAAAAAATGTGATTTTTATGTAGCTGGAGCTGTGAGGGAAACTTTTGTGCATGATTAGGCATATTACCATGTAACAGGAATTTTATTTTTAAATTTCTATCGCTCATAGCCGGCTACGATTCTCGTTTATAGGACGTTACAGGATAGTTGTTAGGACGTTTTTAGGTATCAATGGCTACTAGAAGTGCGTCTTAAAAAAATGGAGATGACATTGAACTGAGACAGAATTTGTTGAACATGATGTTATTCATTGTCAATTTTATTTTAAACAGATCGTCTTTTTGTTGTGGTGTAAAGTTCGTTTTGATTCAATTTGATTAAAGAATTTTAATTTTTGATACTGTTCATTTATATACGAGATCAATTTTTATTTTTGACGTTTCAGGAAAAACCGAAAATGTTCGCTAAGGACGCCGAAATCGATCTTAACCTCGTAATCAAGAAACTCAGCGAAATCATGGCAGCCAGAGGCAAAAAGCGAACAGATAGACGCGAACAAATAGAACTCCTGCACGAACTACAAAACGTTTCAGAGCAGCACCAGCTGGGAGCGGCTATTTTCATTAAAATCAAACTCGCCATCATATCAGCCATTTTTGATTACAATCCCAAAGTTTCTGACGCAATGAAACCAGAGTATTGGCTGAAATTGTTGGAGAGGATGAGCGAAATGTTGGGCATGTTGTTGAATACTACTAATCTAGTAGTTTCTGACGGCATTACCGAGGAAATGGAAAATCTTGAAGAACCTCCATATCGTATTAGGGGTTGCATACTAACATCAGTGGAAAGACTGGATGACGAATTCACTAAACTACTCAAAGAATGTGATCCTCATAGTAACGAGTATGTAGAACGATTAAAGGATGAATGTAAGGTTTCTAGTATCATTGACAAAACAATGAAGTACTTGGAAAGGAGTAACATATCTTCTGAACTATGCAGGATATATTTACGAAAAATTGAGCATTTGTACTACAAATTCGATCCCAGAGTATTACAGCAAAAGGCTGCTGATCCTCTCGTACCAAAAGACGAGATAAACTCCGTGCAGGAAATGGAGAAACTATGCAAGTTCATCTATGCAAAAGACAGTACTGACAGATTAAGAACTAGAGCCATTTTGTCCCATATATACCATCACGCTCTGCATGACAACTGGTTCCAAGCTAGGGACTTGGTATTGATGTCACATTTACAAGAGACCATCCAGCATTCTGATCCAAGCACTCAGATTTTGTATAACCGGACGATGGCGCATTTGGGATTGTGTGCGTTCAGACATGCCAACATTAAAGATGCCCATAACTGTTTAGTGGATTTGATGATGACAGGAAAGCCTAAGGAGTTACTGGCACAAGGTAAATTTGCATTTTTGATCAACATTAACGGGCTAGTCTGGTTTTCAGGAGCTTTATTCATACTCAAATTTATCTATCACAAGTACTAGGATAACATATTTTAACTAAAAAATTTTTGACTTGTTTTGCTCATTTTTTTGTTAAAGTATTAAAAAAGTGATAAATATTAATCAATTTTTATAATCCTATGAAATCATGTGAATATGTGTTTGGAGAAACTGCTCAAAATTTGAAAGACATTTGTTAAATATTGTTAGTCAGGTTGAAAAAAGCGTTCAAATCGTTTTTTTTTTAAGTTAAGATCCACTGCTGCAGTACCAATTGAAAGTCCCATTATTTCCATAACTTGTAATAATGGTTGATATTGATCACTTAGTTTTTGATTTCCACTAAACCAGTTTTTTTTATCAATATATTCTAGGTTTACCTCTTTTATTGGTTTTTCTATTCATTTTACACAAATTTTCTATTCTGAATAAATAATATACAGTCTTATACAGTGCGTTAAGTTTTGGATTAGGTATACACTCTATAAATGGCAACACTGCGCGTCGTCGACTTGCTCGTCGCTCGTCGGCAAATTTGTCATATTGTCATTATACCGTGGTTGTGTAGATTTATTTTCTGTGTTTTTTTGATTGAAGACCAATTCCTTGTGTACAGTCAATTTATAATATTGTTAAACATTTTGAGAGTTGTTATTGCCTGAAAAATTGCAGAAAATGTCACGCTCGAGAAGTGTTACCAGAAAAAGTTGAGGAAAGAGAATACCGGGATACACAAATTTGTGCAACAATCGAGGTAGATTCAACACGTTCAAGTAGAAGCGTTGCTAGAGAGTTAGATGTTAGCAATGTTACTGTAACGAAAGTATGGAAAAAGCACGGTTACAAGAATTTTAAATATTCAAAAACGCAGCAGCTTTATCAAGACGATTACTTTCGAAGAATGGAGTTTTGTGAAACTCTAATAACGAAGGCTAATAGTGAAACAAATTTTATTAAAAACATTTTATTCACTGATGAATCTTCTGTTTCGTTAGTAGGGAGACACAATCCTTCCATTACGAGGTATTGGGCGCGGGAAAACCAGCACAGAAGTGTTGTTTACCGAACTCATCGTCCTCAAAAAGTTAACGTCTGGACAGGCATTTTAGGAGACCACATAATAGGTCCATTTTTTATTGAGGGCAACTTGAATAGTAGAGTATACCTCGATTTGTTACAGAATCATGTTCTTCCCGCTATTCTCAATCTTCCTGATGTAAATCTGGAGAATGTTTGGTTTCATCAAGACGGCTGTTCAGTTCACAACGCTCGAATTATTAGGGAGTATTTAAACAATACTTTCCCGAATCGAGTTATCAGTGGAACAGGCGATATTAAGTGGCCTGCGCGATCTCCAGATCTTACACCCATGGACTTCTTTTTTTGGGGACATTTAAAAAGCATTATCTACTCTCATCCTGAGGCTAGAGCCCAAAATTTGTATGAATTAAAAAATCGAATAAGAGAAGTCTCCAATTCTGTTACAGCAGAAACTCTTTCATCTGTTCGCAGAAGTTTTTATGACAGATTGGGGTACTGTTCAGCTGTAGAAGGTCAACTATTTGAACAATTTCTGTAGGTCGTAAAGAATTATTTTTTAAAATCCACAAGGACAAATTCCTGTAGCTGGCTGTATACCACGTATAACAAAAAGAGGTTAATCTTTGTAAATGGGTATATTTATTTAAAAAACCCTTAAAAGGGCCACATCAATAGAACAAACGTTTTCGGACTACACAGTCCATCATCAGGTTATTAAAATCGAAAATGCCTAAAAATAAGTATAAACCATTTAGTTAAAACAAACGAGATTTTGAAATTTTGACTAAGGTTGAAAAGCAAAAGATGGTTATACTTACTAGGTCATAATGCCTGAGCCACCAAAATATTAGGGTAAAAACCCTTTAAATTACATTTAGTTATGAAATGTTGTACATAGTGTTATAAAATAACTGTGATGTTCTATATTAAATTAAATTTGACCAAAGGTAACACATGGCTCAAATGGGTTCCAGAGCCGGGTGAGAGACAACCTCTGCACTCGGAGAACAACGTGGAACTGATTGACAAGATACTTTTGAAGGATGAAGATAACAGAATGTCAATGCAACAAAAACTATAAAAGTTGTACATAGTATTACTACAGCCAAAAGATTCAACAAGTTTTGATGATTTTAAAAATAACAACCATCTAGGTGTTGGGATTTAAAAACTTTTTATTTATTAATTTAGGGTATAAAAGATGTCAAATCAATGATGGTTTTATAGTCATGATCAATATAATGACCTGTGCCTTAGGCAACTTATGTTGCTTTTCGTCGTATGGAATGTGGTCTAAAGTGTATTTAATTCTTGGGTTAGCTTGTATTTGTGAAATTTATCCTTTTATGTTTAACACATCTAGGACAAGGTAAAAATTAAATAACAAATATTTGAAGCTAATATCAGACCTCATGTTTAAATGACTTTATTTAGGAATGCTCCTATGGTGAAGAATTAATAAAATTAAGTTTAGTAAGATGGAAATCTACAGGCTGAAGAAATTGAAGTAGTAACATATGTGATTGAATTTAAAATCGAAGAGACTGGGTTCCTCAGAGACTAATGAGAATGAAAGTAAAAGAAATGAAAGGAGGGGGGGGGGGGTTGAAGGAGAAAAGGAGTTGATCAACAATTAGAGATAATAGGGGTCCTTTATACTTAAAGTATCTAGCACCCTGAACAAAATCTATTTAGGTGGTATTAAATTACACACTTATACAACAAATTTCAGGTTTCTACAAACTGAATTTAATACCACCTAAATAGATTTTGTTCAGGGTGCTAGATACTTTAAGTATAAAGGACCCCTATTATCTCTAATTGTTGATCAACTCCTTTTCTCCTTCAACCCCCCCCCCTCCTTTCATTTCTTTTACTTTCATTCTCATTAGTCTCTGAGGAACCCAGTCTCTTCGATTTTAAATTCAATCACATATGTTACTACTTCAATTTCTTCAGCCTGTAGATTTCCATCTTACTAAACTTAATTTTATTAATTCTTCACCATAGGAGCATTCCTAAATAAAGTCATTTAAACATGAGGTCTGATATTAGCTTCAAATATTTGTTATTTAATTTTTACCTTGTCCTAGATGTGTTAAACATAAAAGGATAAATTTCACAAATACAAGCTAACCCAAGAATTAAATACACTTTAGACCACATTCCATACGACGAAAAGCAACATAAGTTGCCTAAGGCACAGGTCATTATATTGATCATGACTATAAAACCATCATTGATTTGATATCTTTTATACCCTAAATTAATAAATAAAAAGTTTTTAAATCCCAACACCTAGATTGTTGTTATTTTTAAAATCATCAAAACTTGTTGAATCTTTTGGCTGTAGTAATACTATGTACAACTTTTATAGTTTTTGTTGCATTGACATTCTGTTATCTTCATCCTTCAAAAGTATCTTGTCAATCAGTTCCACGTTGTTCTCCGAGTGCAGAGGTTGTCTCTCACCCGGCTCTGGAACCCATTTGAGCCATGTGTTACCTTTGGTCAAATTTAATTTAATATAGAACATCACAGTTATTTTATAACACTATGTACAACATTTCATAACTAAATGTAATTTAAAGGGTTTTTACCCTAATATTTTGGTGGCTCAGGCATTATGACCTAGTAAGTATAACCATCTTTTGCTTTTCAACCTTAGTCAAAATTTCAAAATCTCGTTTGTTTTAACTAAATGGTTTATACTTATTTTTAGGCATTTTCGATTTTAATAACCTGATGATGGACTGTGTAGTCCGAAAACGTTTGTTCTATTGATGTGGCCCTTTTAAGGGTTTTTTAAATAAATATACCCATTTACAAAGATTAACCTCTTTTTTTTTTTAATTATTTTTTATTTTATTAGGAATAATATTTTAATTTTCAATAAGAGTATATTTTTTATTTTATCTTTTTAAAGAATTACGCTTTTATTTTTAATTCAACCACAAAAAAATTTTCACATTAATAAAAATCGATAACAATGCACCGATTATTTCAGTGCATTTTTATCGAATTTCCTACTGTTAAAATCGGCTTTACGTAATGAAACATGAGATCGGACGACAGAGAAGTACATCCCTAACGTTGTTGTGAGTTACTAAACTAAAATAAATGATTTTCTGTCGGTGTAGATTTTCGAGTCGGAGAACGAACATTTGCAACGTTGCCGGTTTTAGTGCTCCGTATAGTGTGCAATACCTAATCAAAAACTTAACGCACTGTATAATTATAGTAAATAGAAACTTTCTAGCTGAAAAACAACTTGCCAAACACCTGCTGAAAAGCCATGTGCGCGCGCTCTCACTAAAGCGCTCATATATGAAGTTCACGATTTCTCCAACGAATTTAAACTACTGTATTATACTATTGTTAAATGTGTATTTTATATGAAAAATATTTGAAAAACTGATTTTTTCACAATTCAGATCCAGACTACCCCCTGAAAATAAGTAACAAACTGGCCCCAAAACTCAAATATGAATCATCGTGTTAGTATTCCACAATCTCAAAATAATATTAGAAATTACTAAAAATTATTTTTTTTTCTAATAGAAAATTAATGAATAATCGGCCTAAGGTATGTTTGTCCATTTTTTTATAGACGCTATCTGTCTCAAAACTGACATATAGTAGTAACATTCAAAGTAACTTTGAAGTATTTTGAAAGTATTTGTTTCGGTCATTTCAAAAACAACACGAGTCACATATTCCTAATTTTACAGGAGAGCAAAAAAACTAAATAGTTGAAAGATGGATGAAATGGATGACTTAAAAATACAAAGTTATATTGTAATTGTGTTTCTAATCATAATGATCTATAAATCGTCTCGACAAAAATATCTAAAGGTTTTTTGAAAAATGACTTGAAATATTGGACTAATGCTGTTTTTGCATGAAACGAAAAAAAAAACAGAAATAAAACCATTTATATTTTTATTTCGAAAGTATAGCAACTACAAAAACTGGTAATTATTAAATAATAATATGAAACAAAATCAAATTCATTATCTGACTCAGGGGCTATGTCGTCAGCTTGCTCACTGGTAGGCCACTGGAAAATTTTCTCGTAATATGGTTTATATTCTTCTAAAATCCTTTTTTTGAACTAGCATCTTTGCAATTTTTTTGGGATTAATGGCTACAGTCGCTAAATCGTAGGTCACAATTGTACTTTTTGCATGCTTATCGTATTCAAACGACGATGGAGAGAAGGTTCTTTTTTGTTGCTTTTGTACCTTTGAACCTAGGCTTTCATTGAAGAGGCAGTTTCGTTTGTAATATGTTGGCTGGCCATCAATTACGATTATCTAATATCTGACGTGTCTTCATCTCAAAAACGGAAAAATTTATCCCAACTCCAGCCATAAGGGAATAATATTGGTCTGGCACATAAATCATGCTTCTTAATCTTCGATTTCAGCACCCCAAAATTTCGATCATTCGGCAAAAACGAATATCTTCTGATTGGAAAGTAATGGATTATTTTGGAAAATCTGCCTGTATCCGTCAATGAGAGCAAAAACCGGATCATCGTATGGTTTTTATTTTGTCCAGGACAGTTGTCGCTGAACAAAAATACTTCTTGTACGTTATCAGGTAAAAAATTTTCAAAATAATGGGAAAACATGGAACACACTTTATTAGCGCCTTTATTGGCTTAGCCTTCATGATAAACGTAAAACACAGATTCCTTGGTTTTAACATTTTTTATACCGAAGCAGTTCACCCATAGTTGACGCAAATAAAATATTTCTTGGTTGAGTTTACCGAAAGTACAAGCTGATTATAGCCGCAAATGTCAAATATGGAACAAAAAATTTCGGTATAGCAGTGTTGGCATGTTTTTATAATGTATCTGTAATGTAGATATTGTATGCTTCAAATGTAAACAGATAAAGCTTTAGAAAAGTACATTTTGTTTATATTATGTTATGAATTCTGCAATTTTTGATTTATATAAAACAATGAGTAAATATTTGTTTATTTGGAGATTAATTGCAGTTAATTATTAGAATTTTTTTTAGCAATTACCTTTTGATACATTAGGGGATAGATTTGGCAATCGTCAAATCAACAGTTGCCAGATTACAAAAGATTATTTGCAATTAATCTCGAAAGAGACAAATATCTACTCGTTATTGCTTGATATAAATTAAAAATTGCAGAATTCATAAAATAGTATAATCAAAATGTACTTTTTAAAGGAAAAATTTATCTTGTGAAATTTCTTGGATCTTCTTTTATAAACTGCTAGTTCAGCTTCTGCGGTACATTTGTGCTTCTAGAGACTGGCTGTTGATTTTTGTAACCAATCTTCGCACTTAATACAGATATCAACTTGGCGTCTATCAAAACGCAAAGAAAACGGTTCTTTAAAATATTTTGCGTAGTATTTAGACTCAACATCCACATTTGGATGTTTTTCTTTAAAAAGATTATGCATGGTTTTGACATCTAAGCGTACATCAAGGTATTCCATTTTATTATTTGCATAGTGTGGCTGTTTTCTGGGAAATGACAAAATATGATCATAAATGAACTTATGAATTTAAGGGGATTTGGTATTCCATTTCAGGCGTTACCTGGCCTGTCATGGGGTGTCAAATATTTAGGAAGCAAGCTGCAAATTCTTCTTACACGACCTTCTGATATCCCATAAATCGAAAAGACCTTTTCGTTCTTCTTTCGATTTGGAACATGATAGGTGAATTGAAATTCTTTCTACACTGCCCTTTGTTTCGGTCACGGTGTCTCTGAACAGGCACCTTTTCGATATTTTGCTGCAAGAATATATCTTGCTCATTTTGGTGGAAAAGTTGTTTAGTGTGTCAACACAAAAAGCCAATTGTTTTCAGAAAATTTTTGGAAACATTTTGCTATGCATCTAAAAAGAAAAGAGATTTTTAAGGAATGCTAAAATTTCTAGCATATTAGAACATAAAATAAGTTTGCAGCTAATAAATTCCTGTATAGTGATATTAAACCTCTTATTAATGTTACAAAAAACGCCGATTTTTATCCTCGGAACAAGTGTTCATTGAACTGACACTAAGTTTATATTTTTAAAATTTGCAAAACAAGAACCTTAACGACAATATTACATTACTGTAGTTTGTTTATTTATTGTGGAAAAATATGGTTTTATTAATGAAATATTAAACTATGTTATGAAAACTATAAAAAATTGCCTATTGCTGATACAAGCGGTAATAAACAAACGTCTGTAAATCTACATAACAGTATAAATTACTTACTTGCATTTAGGTCCTGTAGTTTTAGCCGGTACAATATTTCCTTTATAGTTAGTGTGTTGTAAACCATTAACTTTGGCATTACGTACAACATTCCTTCTGTATTTATCTGGATTGGGTTTTCTCTTTTTTAAGGGTAAATGTTCATGTACACTATCGTCAGATGAAGTAGGCATATTATTTCTTTGTTTAAAGAACATAAAACCAATAAATTTAAATTAATCGTTGTCAAGCACTTAATCTCACAACACAACACATTCTTAGAAATTATGTTGTCAAATTCACAGCAAAAACTGCATATGTCCTGGACTCGCGTTGTTTTTGCACAGACCTTCAATTTTAGTTGAAGAGTATTTCGACAGATTATGTACGGACTGGTGTCGTTTTTGCACACAACGTGAGTTTATCTTAGAGGAGTCTATTCCGCACAAAAAGTTTCTGAAAATTGTTGACTTATACACTTTTTGAAATGACCGATTCATTTTTAAAACCTTTTTTTACTCTGATATAAAAGAAATAAGGCATTAGGGCAAGGCAAATTTTATTGTATTTTTATAAACAATACTGATTACGATATTTGTGGTATTTTATCATATTCTGAAAGTAATTTATTAAAATAATTTTGAATGGATTGTAAAAGAACATTTTTACTCGATATAAATGAATTGTTGGTAAGTTTTTTATTCACAGTATTACGATTTGTTCATCAAAATTGACATATCAATCCCTTTAGTAATACTCCATATTTTTAGAAGTTTAAAAGTATTTTTAATGTGTTTTAAAAACCTTTTTTACTCTGATACAAAATAAATAAGGTATGAGGCCAAGGCAAATTGTATTGTATTTGTTATAGACAGTATTACGATATCTATGGTATTTTACCATATTCTGAAAGGACTTTGAACGTATTTTGAAAGTACATGTTTACTCTGATATATCATAAAAGAATTGTTGGTATAAGTTAAATTTTGTACCATTTTTTATCGACAATATTGTGATATCTCCACCAAAACTGACATATGAATCTCTTTAGTAATGTTTTATATTTTTAAAAGTTTAAAAGTATTTTTAATGTATTTTAATACCTTTTTTACTCTGATACAATGTAAATAAGTTATTAGACCAAGGCAAATTGTTTTATATTTTTAGACACTATGGTATTTTACCATATTCTAAAAGTATTTTGAATGTATTTTAAAAGTACATTTTTCTCTGATACAATATAAATTAATTTTGTAGGCTTGCTTCCACAAAGACAACACGAACGTAGCAAAGAACAAGAGAAAATCGAGAAACAGCGTCAAATGCCGTTCCACATGCACATCAATCTAGAACTCTTAGAATGTGTGTACTTAGTCTCCGCCATGTTGATCGAAATCCCATATATGGCTGCGCACGAATTCGACGCCAGGCGCAGGATGATATCGAAGACATTCTATCAGCAGTTGCGTTCTTCCGAACGTCAAAGCTTAGTAGGACCTCCAGAAAGCATGCGAGAGCACGTCGTTGCGGCGGCGAAAGCCATGAGGAACGGCAATTGGGCAGCGTGTAACACTTTTATCATTAACGACAAGATGAACGCCAAAGTGTGGGATTTGTTCTACCAAGCCGACCAAGTTAGATCCATGTTAACGAAATTGATAAAAGAAGAGTCTTTGAGGACGTATTTGTTTACTTATTCGCACGTTTACGACTCGATTTCGATGGCAACTTTGGCGGAAATGTTCCAGTTGGGCAAACCTGTTGTACATTCTATTATTTCAAAGATGATCATCAATGAAGAATTGATGGTAAGTGTTTACAAAGTCGATCGCCTTGTATATTGCGTGATAAATATTTTCTTCGTTTTTAGGCATCTTTAGACGATCCTACTCAAACTGTCGTAATGCACAGAAGCGAACCGTCCCGTCTACAATCTTTGGCTTTGCAATTGGCGGATAAGATCAATAATTTCGTCGATTCCAACGAAAGAATATTGGAATCCAAACAAGGAAACTTCTTCCTAAGAGGAGCAAACCAGGTAAGATACAAACTTATAAATAACTCACAGACGAGGTAAAATGAATGAATTCTCAATTAGCAGGTTGAGAATTTGGTGGAATATCTAGTAAAATGGAACAAATCTCGTGAACACGAGTACACGAATACTTTTTAGACAATGTGTGATCAAAAATACAAACGGAACTCAAAAGAGAAACAACAGTAAGAAATGTTCTGCTGTAGAAAAACACATTGACGAAAAGGGAGTCAGGTGTGGAACACCATCTCTCAAAATATCTCATCACTTCTTTAGCTGAGGTTGAATGCCTGAATTTAAGATTTTAAAAGAAGAAAAGAAAACAGTCCCTATGGAACTAGCCATAATTGCCTTTTAGTCTTTCTATTTGTAGCATATTCAATATTTTTCAACAGATTTGACTTAACTCTCATTGATGTGAGCCAATTGTCAATCATAGATGTATTCTAATTAATTTTCTTTTAGGGCAATTTCCGAGGAGATAGACAGAACTACCGTGGAAATAACCAGAACTGGGATAGGCAACGTCGTGACAGGGATAGAAAAGAAAAAGATAATTATTAATAAACATAAATCTTTTGTATTTCTTTTTATGGCTTTGTTACGGTTGCCTGTAATTAAAAAAATTATTATAATACTGTTGTTTTATTTCCTATAATGAGCGGAAATGGATGTATTTAGGAAAGTATTGCCAGGATTTACATTTGAACGGCAATAGTTATGTAAATCGTGACAACGAAACAGTCCCCAAAATAGTTCTTGTCATACCCCTATTTTAGTAGTGATAAACGCTTATGGTTTAGGCATGTGGAATATTATTGCTGCAATTTGAAAGCGAGGGACCTGACAGGTACTAGGTGTCAAAATTTTATTAACCAAATGTTCACCGGCTATGAAATTAAAGTCATATGTTATTGCAATTTAAATTAAAAAAAAAAAACAAAACATTCTAAAAGGGAGACCAAGAATATCCAAGAGAAAAATAAATTACGACTGGATCTATATTTTATACCTGGAAATTGCCAGAGACAAGATGACTAGCCCCAATTGCGTCAATCGTCCCTATCCATCATCAACTATTCTCTTAATTGTCACATTTCTACAATATTTTCCTTATACAATTTTATTTGCAACTGTTGTACATCTATTAGGTATTCATACATTTGATCCCGTATTATCCTAACTAACAACCTTCCTTCTCCGAAACTAATCACCAACTGACATTACTTTAAGATTCTTTTCTCCATTCACCTCACATGCATAGGTACTTTTATTCTATACTCTTATCATCTTTACAGACCAAGACCAATTACATACATCCTTCATCAACTAAAAATAATTTTCTTTTACGTCTACGACCATTCACTACTTAATTGAATAATTCTTGTATTGGATATGTTCAGTAAGAATTAAATAATTTTTCTCGCACACTTCGATTTGTCGCAAACACTCAGTCACACGGCTGAGTTCTGAGAGGAACAAACTCTGCGCTATCAAAAAACACCTTACTGGAGCTCAACAAAGGGAGATAAAGGGTACAACAAAACTAGTTGCTGGGGCATGGATCACAGCATATCCTAACCTAGATCTTTAGATTACAACATTTTTACCACTACTATAACTATTTTACTCTTTTTCGTCAATAATACAATCAAGTGCACATCATTTCCTATTTGAATTTACACTTTTTTCACTGCCCCGTCCAGACACTCTCTCCCCTAAAGAAGACTGGACAATTTCAATAATATATAAAAACCATTTTTGCAATAAAACAGATAACTAAGTACTTCATATTAACAATTAGTATTACGTACCCAAAGATAAGTCGATAAGATGCAACAGTTTGCAGCAAAACGGTATTCAGAAATCCTCACCAGCAGGCTAAGGAATCAAAATATAAATGAGGAAGGCCAGAAACATGTAGACTCCTACTGGACCAGAATAAAGGAAAATGTTGAAGCAGCAGCAAAGAAGGCTACTGAAAACTTCTTCTTCATGTCCTTTCAGAATGTTGGTCACCATCATAGCTATTTTAATTTTATTCACTGCCTCCCTAAATAGCATGCTTCTATCAATACTATACCAATCTCGCAAGTTCTTCAACCATGAGGTTCTTCTTCGTCCTGGACTGCCTTTGCCTGGTAAAAACTACTGAAAATGAAACCACTTAAATAAGGAACTTAAATGTATAGAAAACCTTCACAGAGAAAAATAATTCAGAGCATTCTATATGACAGTTAACATCAGCAGAACAGAATTAACTACAAACCAATACAGAAATCTGAATGGTCACTTATAAACAACAAGGAAAGATGTACTGAATCGATGGGTTGAATAGTTTTGAAGGTTGGAGACGTAAGAGATGAGGTAAGCGAAAGAGACGAGAGGGAAGAGGAATCGCCAACGATTCTAGAAGTTAAAGTCTCCGTTAAAAAACTAGGAGAAACAAATCACCTGGAATAGATAAATCTCCCAGCTAAACTGTATAAAGAAATCACTATACTATAATGACACTATCGCAGCTAAAAGAAATATGGACACAGCAATCCCTCCCAATGATTGGAATACTTTGCACCATACATAAGAATGAGATATCTTTGAATGCTCTAACCACAGAGGAATGATGCTTCGAATTCGTTTGCGTTTCTAATTTAATGCATAGGTACATTAAAAAAGTAATTTTTTCTCAGGCCCGCTCATAAAAGTTTTGGCTTCCAAAACAAAAAAAAAAATATTAAAGTAATTTAAGATAAGAATAAATTACCAATTTAATTAATTACAATAATTTTTTTTCTAGTTCTATTTACTTATTTCCAATTATATTATCTACTATAATCATAAAAAATACATATCCATAAGAAAAATAATACCTACAAAAAATAATTTATATCCTGCCAAGTAAATACTTTAGTCCAAGTGCTACAAAAAAACCAGCAAAAAACAAGATAAACAATCAAGAATCGCTATCATTCCCGGAATTCAAGCTCAGGCACACAATAGGCATACACTTTTTGACGCAATCACGTGTCACGCAAGCTAGGATAATATTTGTTACAGTTTTCTTTCCTCGCGAAATTCCAAATTAAACGGGTATTATTTTTAAACGTAAAAATGTAGTAGATATGTCGATAAAATAATAATGTGCCGTTCTTTCATATTTATTCTAATTCAGAGACTTATAAAACACAGGACTATATTGAAGTGGTACCTATATGTCTTATTATAGTAAATGATTTACGATAGTTATTATCAACGTTGGATTTTATAAAAGGTAATTAATCGTTTTGTTAAGAGAAAACTTTTAAGATCATGGCTTGAAAAAATATGCTGTTTATGATTGAAAATCTTAAATTTTTCGTTTAAACTTTTAAACTTGGCGTCAGTAGTGTTATGTAAGTTGCATACATTTGGCGCAAATCAATGATAGTTTGATTATAAAAATAGATTTCTCATTTATTTGTGTATCTCTTTCTTTCTGCTTAAATAATTTACATAAATTATTAACTAAAAACAGATTCTTGTTATCTTATTGAAATCGGTTTATTTTTTTGTTTCTTATTTGTATAAAGGGAAAATCTATTAAATTTTGGGCCAGTAGGTGTTTCTTTTTATTATATAGTTTTATACTGTCAGAAAATTAGTCAGGATGGTGGTAACACTCAGACACAATCCCAGTACTCCACTAGATCAGGCTTAAGCAGACCTGATCGTCAGCTGGAACAAGCAGTGGATAAGGCTTCTATCGGTGAACCTGTGGGAAAACTATGCTAACGGTAACGAATATATAAAAAATGGATACAACAGTGGTGAGAACTATGGATAGCTTGTGAAAGAGATTATATCTTAAATGCAGTCGATCCCAATAATATGATCAAACGCCTCATGGTCTCAGATGACACTTATAAGGGAGTGATTTTTGATAGTCATATCTATTTCTGATTTTATAAAAGTTTGGTAATTGATATTTTTTTTTAATTAAAAAGTCTATAGGCATTTTTGAGAAAATATGCTATTTTAGATTGGAAACATGTTCGCCAAATTTAAAAATCACTTGGCGTCTATAATATTATGTAAGTTGCATACATTTGGCGGAGATAGTGCAAGTCCATGACAGTTTGATTATAAAAATGAATTAATTATTGTCCGTTTATTAGATAATACATATTTTATAATATTATCACAGGATTTTATTAAAATTATGTAATTTTCTTCCTGTCTTATTTCTGCAACGGGAAACCTTATTGAGTTTGGGGCCAATACGTTTTTTTCTTATCGTAGTGTTTTACATTTTCTTTTTCTTGGAGGAAGGAAAAATCGTACTGTATTAAACTTGGTATAGATATTATAATAATTTTATTAGTCCTAGTTTATTGTCTTTATTCTAATTTATTAAAACTCACGATAATTTATTATCAATTTATTAAATAACTACAACTATTTATTACGTTCGTACATTTAAATACCGAGCCACGAATTTATCTTCTTACTGACTTCTCCAAATAAAATGTTTCATTTATATACATAAACTTCCGTTATCTAGAAAGATCGATGACCTTCTTCATTATAACGGAACCCCATCGAATAGACTGGTAAATAGAATGTTGTCGAAAATACGAGGCCCTCGTAGACAGAGCGACAATGATCTAAAAACTAGTATCGGTGCGGTTCCAGAAAACTCTTATTCGTTGCTTTTATAGTGAAGGTGAACCCAACGTGTCTCAGGTAGATTTTGACCTACAAATTACGAGAATCAATAAAAAAAGAATTAGTCATAAAATATTTACAGTTCTATACGCCATAACATTTAAAATCGTAACATTGCCCCCCTCTTAAAAGATGGTTCCTCCTGGAACCTTGTCGGGACTGGAACTGGAACGATATGCTGGTATCGGCAACTGGACCCTCTTTTACAACTTTCAGTTGTATAAAAATGACAAGGGACGATTTTCTCTCCGCACCAGGAACTATGCGGATTGCAACAGACTAACACCTGGACTTCGGTGTCTTTAAAGATCTCCTCCACCATATTTCGTATAACCCTCCAATCTAATTGGCGGCACTCCAACTTTAGCATGGATAACTTTTGTACGTTTGACTCGTCGGTGTCTTTTGTTACCAGGTAGAAAAGGTAACGTGATGCATCTTGGAGTTTCAAGGTTTTACCGGGAGCTGGCACTTGGCATTGAAGTTCTGCAACTCGACCGAACTTCCTTCGAAAGACGGATGCCAACCCTGGTGCGCCTTTGATACTGGCCGGGATGGTAAGGGCCAGTGAGTAGTCATCGGAAAGCCCGAGTATATCTTGCCTTTCTTCAGTGGTAACACTATGTCTTGCTTTACCGGTACCTCCATAGGCACCCATGAATTCCTCAAACGTGAGGTCAGATACATCTTGGACTTGGTTTACTTCCACTTCTTCATCTACGTCGTGGTCACCTTCGAAAGACGCCAGTCGGTTATGGTTTACTATCATCGGCTTTTCCCTCGGAATCTTGCTTATTCGGTAAATGACATCATTGATCTTTTCCATAATAAGGTATGGACCTTCCCAAAACTGCTGCAACTTGGGAGAACAACCTTTTCGCTTTTTGGGATTATAAAGCCAAACTTTGTCGTTCTTCTTAAAACACCCA